TTATAGTTGAAACTCTATCAGGATTTTTTGTAAATATAAATAAGTTGTTCTAAAACATATGGAAAGACAAAAGAACCAGAATAGTCAAAACATTTTTGAAAAAGGAAGAGCAATTGGAGTACTCACATTATTTTAAGAAATACTATAAAGCTACAGTAATTAAGACGCTGCGTACTAGTAAAGGGATAGACACACAGAACAAAGGAACAAAACAGACGGTCCAGAAATAGAACCACGCAAATATGGCCAGTTTATTTTTAACAGTTTTATTGAGATATAATTCACATACCATAAAACTGAACCATTTAAAGTGTCCAATTCAATGGTTTTTAGTATATTCATAAGGTTGTGAAACTATATTTTACAACATTTTTGCCTCCCCCAAAAAAAAAAACCCATACCCACAGCAGTACTCACCACTCTCCCCGACGATTTCCTAGCTCCCTAAGCAACCATTACTTTATTTCCTGTCTTACAAAGTTGTCTATTCTGAGCATTTCACATACATGGAATCATAACAATAAGCTGTCTTTTGTGACTGGTTTCTCTCACTTAGCATGTGTTCAAGGTACGTTTCTTTGTATTGACAATGGATATACAACAGTTTATTTAGCCACTCATCACTTGACAGATATTTGGATTGTTTCTATGTTTTCATTTTTCTTGTGTATAAGACACGGAATTGTTGGGTCATATGGTAACACAATGTTTAACTTTTTGAGAAATTGCCGAACTGTTTTCCAAAGCAGCTGAACCACTTTACATTGCCATCAGCAATGTGTAAGTGTTCTAATTTCGCCACATCCTCGTCAACACTTACTTTTTTTTTTCAATAGCTACCTTACTGGAAGTAAAGTGGTAACTTAATGTAGTTTTGATTGCCAATTCATTTTGGACAAAGGTAGAAAGGCAATTCAAGGGAAAAAGGATAGCCTTTTCAACAAATGAAGCCCTGGTTGCGCAGTGGTTAAGCACACAGCTGCTAACCAAAAGGTCGGCAGGTCGAATCCACCAGGCGCTCCTTGGAAACTCTATGGGGCAGTTCTACTCTGTCCTATAGGGTCACTATGAGTCGGAATCGAAGTCAACAGCAATGGGGTTAACAGGGTAGTCTCAACAAATGATGCTGGTAAAATTGGACATAATATGCCACGAAAAATGAACCTAAACCTCACATTTTATATAAAAATTAACTTAAAATGGGTCACAGTTCTAAGTATAAAGCTTTAAACTATAAAGCTTTTAAGAGAAAATATTCACAAACTGAGGTTTGGCAAAGAGTCTTTAGATATGACAACAAATGTATAAACTATAAAAGAAAAAAACTGATAAACTGGACTCAAAATTACTAACTTTTGCTCTGGAACAACACTTTAAAGAGAATGAAAAGACAAGACACAGAGTAGAAGAAAATGTTTGCAAATCACATATTTGACAAAGGACTTGCATCCAGAATATATAAACAACTCTCAAAATTCAACAGTAAGAAAACATACAACCTAATATTTTTTAAAATGGGCAAAAGACTTCACAGATCAAAGAAGATACACAGCAAATAAGTACATGAAACAATACTCAACATCATTAGCTATTAGGGAAATGCAAACTAAAAATACACCTATTCAAGGAGCCCTGGTGGTGCAATGGTTAAGTGCTCAGCTGAAAAACCGAAAGGTCAGTCTGCTTCCATAAAGATTACAGCCTTGGAAACCCTATGGGGCAGTTCTACACGGTCGCTATGAGCTGGAATTGACTCGAAGGCAATAGGTTTGGTTTTTTATACACCTATTCAAATGACTAAAATTTTAAAAACTAACAACACTGAGCGATGATGAGGATGCAGTTACTGGAACTCTCATACACTGATAGCGAGAATGTTAGTAAAATCACCTCAGAAAACAGCTTGACAATTGCTTAAAAAACTGAACTTAACTTACACTTACCAGATGACCTAACAATCATGCTCGCAGGTATCTACCAACAGCAGTGGAAACTTACGTTTGCACAAAAACCTGTACACGAAGGTTCACAGCAGCTCTATTCTTAACTGTCGAAAAACAGAAACAACCCAACTGTCCTTCAACAGATGAACAGAAAATCCGTGGTACATCCCTATAACGGGGACACTACTCAGCAATAAAAAGGAGTGAATTTTGATACACAGAACAACTTGTATGAATCTCAAAAGCATTATGCTCAATGAAAGAAGTCAGTCTCAAAAGCTTACATACTATATGATTCCATCGATAAGACATTTTGGAAAAGGCAACGTTACAGTGATAGAGAACTGCTCAGTGGTGGTCAGTCCTTAGGGGTAGACGGAGGGTGTGACTACACAGGGGCAGCATGAGGGGGTTTTGGTACAGTTTTGGCAGGTAGAACTGTTTCATGTCCTGTTTGTGTGCTAATTAAACAAATCCGTATGTGTTATAACTCAAAAAACTGTATTATTAAAAAAAGTCAATTTTACTCTATGATAATTTTAAAACTTTTTAAGTTTAAAACACTGGTCATGTTCATGTTAAATGGCAAAAATACAAGATATAAGCACAAAGGGTGGAGACAATGAGCTTGCCTTCTTCCTCTTTGGAAATCATCTCCCTCTGATTTCAGAGCCACCTCCTCTGAATCCCCCCCCCCACTTAGGGAGGGGTTAAATCCATTTTGTCCCTCATTTTTACTATTTTTTTAAACACGTAATGACCATCATCTCCCTTCCCCAATTGCCCGTCAACAGTGAGGTGACTATATGTTTAACATGTTACATTTCTTCCACCTTAAGAAAAATGGAGTACCGTTTCTTAATCAATATGAAGCACAATAACATGCCTAAACAATTTATTTAGTTATAATAAATTATTATAAAATAGCATGAATAAAGCAACTTTATAATTCATTTACTGTAATAAGTTCTCAAGCATGTAAGTATGAATTTTGAAAATTAGACAAATACTGATTCCAAAAGTCATCATGTTTTGGTCATTTCAAACCCATACTTAACTACTGGAAAGTATCTTACTAAAAAATATTTCTCTATTCTACAGCTCTAGTCTACTCTATTAAAAGTATTCTCCTATTAATACGTTAAGCTATCATAATGGATTATAAAAATTCCTTCACTGAAATATCTACATAAAGATCATAAAGTATGCACTTCAAACACCAAAGACACAAGGAAAGTATTAGCCCAAGAGACAGAAAGGGCCACATAAACCAGAGACTTCATCAGCCTGAGACCAGAAGATCTAGATGGTGCCTGGCTACCATCAATGACTGCCCTAACAGGGAACACAACAGAGAGTCCCTGACGGAGTAGGTGAAAAGTGGGGTGCAGAACTCAAATTCTAGTAAAAGACCAGACTTAATGGTTTGATTGAGACTGGAAGGACCCGGAAGACATGGCCCCCGGACACTCTGTTAGCCCAAAACTAAAACCATTCCCGAGGTCAACTCTTCAGACAAAGATTAGACTGGACTATGGAACATAAAATGATACTCGTGTAGAGTGTGCATCTTAGCTCAAGTAGATACATGACACTAAATGGGTAGCTCCTGTCCAGAGGCGAGATGAGAAGGCAGAGAGCGTCAGGAGCTGGTTGAATGGACACGGGAAATGCAGGGTGGAAGGGAGGACTACGCTGTCACAGTATAGGGAGAGCAACTAGGGTCACGTAACAATATATGTATTAATTTTTGTACGAGAGATTAACTTGAATCGTAAACTTTCACTTAAAGCACAACAATAAAAAAAAAAAAAAAAAAGTATATACTTCAACAGGCTATGAACTCATTTTATATCAGAAAAGCCACCCCAGTAAGCCAAGAAAGTCTTCCCATTAGGATAGGCCTTTAAGAAACAATTATGCCCTCTTTTTCCCCTACATGCATGACTTATTTTAATGTAGTAAAACCAAAAGAATTATCATTGCCAGAAATTATATACAGGCCTAACAATAAGATTCTGATTAATGTCACAAAAGATCAAAATATATATCAATTATAAACTTATAGGAGTTGATTTGCAATTAGACTCTCCAAATATAGTTCTCAGAATTTCACTGAGTAAATGATTCTCTAACTAGTACCCACTCATGTATAAGTGAAATAATTTCAGCTTTGGAAAACTCAGCTGTTTTCTATCTAGTATGACCTCATTTATACAGGAGAATTCTCACAAAATCTATTTTCAAAGACGCATTTAACTAGAAGGTTAAAAAGTAGGTAGGGGTAAGATACTATCAATTTAAATATTCTATTACAGAAATAAGTACATAAATTAGAAATTAAATAAATCTAATTTAATACAACTAACCTAGAGCACAAGTCAACCCATCCAACTAAACTGTGTGTGTGTGTGTGTGTGTGTGTATGCACGTGTGTGGTATATATGTTATACACCAACAAATAATATTACGTAAACAAAAGTAAAGGACTACCCGAACAAAATGAGGCAGGGACCTGAAAACACTGGGCAGATTAGGTGCCATTTTAGGTAGCACCGCTTTCCACACCTGGTCTCTTCTACAAAATGAAAATACAATTTCATCCAAACCAAAAACCATGCTTGAAATTTGTTTCTACTCTGGCAAATAGGTATTTCTGAGTTCACTAAGCATGAAGTAAATTACTTCTAAGTACTAAGTATTAAACACAAAAGTCTACAAAAGCAATTAAAACAAACCACTTACAAAGTATAAAATGACCCCACTCTTACATCTTCCCAACTTCTACCTACAAAACCATATGTAATGGCTTCTGTGCTTTGTAATTTGTGAAAACATGCCAATGGAGGTAATATTTCCAACCCAGATGTTCTATTCCCCAACTCACATTTCCAAAGTTTGATTCTACTCAAACTACCTACCAATCCAACTGAATCACAGATAGCCTGGACTAATCAAATCACAGAAGGTACTTTTGGTAACAAACAGCCCATCAGCCTGCAGTGTGTGAACCACTTCACAGAGAGCAGAGAAACATCATTTACAGTCAGTACATACGTTCTTTCCTGTGCTCCACTAAGCCTACTGCCTGCTTTGCTGAGCACTTTGCAAACCAGTTGTCCCCAAGTAAAACAGTGACTTCATTCGTGTGGACAAGTTTTCCTGGCATGAAGGCAAAGGGACCAAATGGTACCTATTGTTTAAAAAAAAAAAAAAAGAAAAAAATTTAAAAAACTAACAAGTACATTTTCTGAAATGCTTAACATTAAAAACTCTAAGTTACTATGGTCCTTTTTTACCCATACACTAGAAATATAAAATGTCAACTCCACAGAAATGTGACATATTAAAATTTCACTAGGAAAATCTATAGAAAATTATTTTAAATAAAGAAATCAATGTTAAAACAGAAAAAGAAATCACCACCATATTTACATACAGCTTTTAGAGAAAGTAGTTTTGTCTCTGAATGTTTCTACTTTTCATTTATTCATAAATCTAAATGAAAGCAACTAGTTGTGAAATATTAATAGAGAATATGTTTAAAAAAGAAAACTATTATTTCCAATAAAACAATCATTTTACACACCAAGAGTTAACAAACAAATACTTTTAATGAGTCTACCCAGAATAGCTATATTTACATAATATTTGGGCTAGTATAACAAGAGTAAGCCAACAGAGTCTTCATGAGCGAGAATATTCATGCAATGGAAGATTCTAATCCAGGACACACCAATAGATTACTCTGTTGATATGAAGAGCATTAAGACAAAAATTAGCAGGACCTTTTTATAGAAAAATCAATGTCCTAGAATTTAATTCTGTGAGCCCCATTCCTATTCTGGCCAACAGAAACTACCAAGTGCTATATTTCTGTTGTAATTATATAGTTTTCTACATAAGAGAGTTGTATACCAAATACGTCAAATTTTTTGCCAACATTTTTCATTTATGTCACCATAATGTAGTAATTTAATATAAATCTGAATAAAGGAAAATAAGTAAATACTATTACTACAATTAGTGTATTTATATAAAGTAACACTAAATAACCTTCCTTCTACCATAGTCACCTTTGACAGGTTAAGTGTATTACTTTAAAAAGAACACACCAGACATACCATGATATTATAAGACAACTTATCAGGCAATGTACTGAGTCTTTCTTGAAGGGCATTATAGTCATTATCTACCTTCTTCCTGTTGACAAAAAATACCAAACACTAAATAAATAAACAAATTGACAATTCTTCCAGTAGACTATGTACTGTAAGGCAAACACATCAAAAAGCTAACTTCAGCAATTTAAAAGACTCAAGTATTTTTAATTTCAAAATCCTGTTTTTATGAAGCTTAGCAATGGCATTATTCTACCACATACTTATTAGATAAAGAATTAAGACTCTCGGGGATTTTGGTTTTTAGAAGTAGACCATTCAAATCCTGAGAATGAGTGTTTCTTAAGGTAGAAGACCCTCTGGACTAAATAAAATTTGGAAATTAAGGGATACAGTGAAGAAGATGGAAACAGGGACTCAAGATGAAGGAAGAAGAGATTTGATAAAGCTTTTGAGTGAATAAACACTGGCTGTGGAGCAGAAACCATGAACATGAAATTTGATGAGATGCTTCAGTCCTCATTAGAAAACGTTAGGCTGAGAAATGTGGTGTCAACCCCTTCAATTATTTATACTAATGTGTTTAAGGTGAGAGAGGATTAACCAGGGACAAGAAGAAATGAGTAGCAGTAACACAAAAAGGATTTCAATGGAGTCTGTAAATTTCAAACAACCCAAAGCTGTAATTCTGTAGGAGCAGAGACAGTCATACCCTTCCCTGCTACGAACCCGACTTTGTTCCTACACCTGCTGGAAACGGACAGCCTTTCTTTCTGAGTGACACCAGATGCCAGCCAATGCTGAGATGCCTATTCTTAAGCCTTCTCTGGAGACTAGGTATCCTAAAGGGTCCCCGAGAGGAAGGAGGCTGCAGGCAAAACCCAAGTACTAAAATTTTTGTAAGCAAAAGTTGTCAATTTTAAAAAATAACAAAAACAAAGACGCATCAATTCAGCAGGTAATTTAAAAGAACATGTAGATAATGTCAAATTGAAATTAGGATAAATTGCAACATAGATAATCGCTCTCCAGATAATTAAAAATGACTGTTCTATAAACATCAAAGAATTGGTTTCAGTTTACTCCTTAGTTCCCCTAAAGCAACAGTAGCATAATTAACAAAAATTATCCCATCTACTCTTAAGAATCTCAAGGAACTTCACATATATACTATGTGCTTCATCTTAAAAACATTCCTGTTGTAAATGTCAGTGATCAGCATTTTCCTCTTACAGAAGAGAAACTAAAAGATGGAAAAACCCTATACTGAAGAGAAACCGCATTTACATCAAGGTGAGACAAGCAATGAATTTAACCTCGTTCTTTTGACCTCTATTCTTTTAAGCAAACTCTGTAATTTACTAGTGTTCAAGTGCTTTTTGCAAACTCTTCCCCAAAAATTCTTTCATAAATAAACATAAAACCTCTTTATTCTATTTATTTAAGACAAAAACCATCCTTCTGGATAAATTCTTCTAAGAGGAAAATGGCAAAAAACTTCACACACAGGGCTACGTACCAGAAAGAGCATGGTTTTGGAGTCATCTCAGCCGGAAAATCCCAGCTCTCCCACTTAACATAGGCAAATTAACCCTAGTCTTAGCATCTTCAGTGATACAGCTAGAATGAGGCCTAAGTATCTCACAAGTTCAAGAGACTACAATACTCCCTCTTTCCATAAAGTATCAAAAATATCAATTCTAAATTTTCAAGAAAGACTATTACCTACCAAGATAAGATTTTACTATGTTAAATTTATCCAGTCTGATACAAACAGCATGACTTGTGAAAGACAGTACAGCTGGGTGTTAACCACTGAGAAGCTTCAGAGACAGGGCTAGTGTGAGCAATAAATGAAATAAAGTGCTATAAAGGTGTAAGTTGGTACAATGTCTGCATAGAGTAAACACTCAATTATTAAGCCTACTTTGGAATATTAGCAGTTTATTGATAGGTTTTGGATAAGTAATTTTGCAAATCCTCAAGGATCATACATCAGGTTAGCTGTCCAAATGTTACTATGGCTGTTACAAAGCTGGTATAAAGCTGGCTCTCAGTATGTCTTAGTTTGGTAACTTGGAAAAGAAACTTCCTAGCAAACCATCTCTTTCTACATTAAAAGAATAGTAGGTTCAAAGAGAGGTAATACCAAAGACCACTGTCAGTATTCAAAATCAAGGATACCCACCAGTCAGCTCATCATTAGTAATTCTCTCCAAACAAAAGTATGCACTCACTGGAGAGCGGTCTGAGACTGAAGCTGCTATTTCTAAATTTTAAATTATTTGCTAAAAATACAAAAATAAAAATGGAGATAACCGAAAACGCAGCCTTTCTGAAGGGAAAGAAATCCTTTTTGAAGGGCGGCTGGTGGGAGTCAAGCAGGGTCTTTGGAGGAAACCACGGCTTGACGAACTCTGTCTCTAAAGGTCGCACCAGTGGCCACGTCCAGGCAGGGGCACTCAGTCAAAGCGAGATCTCCAAATAGTCCCTCTTACGTTTAGGGCTCAAATAACCCCCTTAAAGATCACAAAACCTATGCAGCAGAAAACACAAAAGTTATTCTAAGGACTAATTTAAATGTTAGAAAGTTATCTTCATTTGTACCAAAATTTGAACAGATTATTCTGTTTTCTTACTTAGAAATACATAATTAATTTTTGTTTTGTTTTTTGGACACTGTAGTCTTATTAAAATATAGTAGGCAAAAGTGGTAGTTGCTTAAAATAATTTTTTTTTCAAATAGAAAAAAAAAAAAAACTGAGTAAGTTAGCATAAACCTCTCAAGCCTACTTACTTACAATATATAGATCTGCTTGTTTGGTTTCACCAAACAAAAAAAAAGTTCTTATATTTGAGCCTTATAGAGTAGGTTCAGCCTTCAATTCTTAACTTTAAAACTGTATCCAAGAAATAAGATTTTATTTGTGTAAGATATTCTCATGCAACATTCCTTACAGAAAACCAGAACTAACGCACTGACATAAGGCATTTAAGAAATGTTTACATCCTTCCTTGGTTGAGTCTTGCTTATCGTGTGCTATATGCCTTATGAAAATGCACCTTTTCTTTTAAAAAGTAGCAGGAAAAAAAAATAGCACATCTATAAATTAGCCTTAACCTTAAAGGATGAGGATCAGGACAGATTCCATGAGAAACACCTTATTTTTATGAAGTTATAAAAAGCACGTGAGAGCTAGTTAAGTGATGTATATACTGAGTATTTAGGGGATGAAGTGTATTTATGTCTGCAGTTTACCTTGAAATGCATCAAAAATACATACACATGAGTTGATAAAGGTATAGACAGATGTGATAAAAGTTTGCCTATACAATTCTTTCAACTTTTTTGTATGTTTGAAGATGTTTATAAGAAATATTACAAGAGGGATAGGGCAGAGTATGAGAGGGACTCCACATTTTTAATCTTCTTAAACGCAACTGACAAAAATTAAAATCCTGGTAAAGAAAAAGAAAAAATTAAGTTCTAGATCTTTTGTTTTAGGTATGTGATTATAAAAACTCCGATCTCCAACTTTAAATAAAAAGGGGAAATAAAGCTTAAATCACTGATTGAAACAATAAGATTTTGCTAATTTCACTTTAAAGTAGGAAGTTACAGTCGGCAGAGAACATTGACATTAAACCTTTTTTTCCCCCTTTAGGCTGCTACATTCAACGCCTAACATGCTTAACAAAAAAGCAGAAAGCACCATGAGATGCTTAAAAGTAGGGAAAAAAGAAAAAGAGGTTTTCATTAGTGTTTATATCTGGGTTAACCGGTGGTGAATTTGCAATCTATACAAGTAAATATATGACCTTCTTAGAAAAGATGTTTTAGTCCAGGATACTCACTCTGGAACTTTCTAATAAGCATTCAAGAAAAACCTCTGTTTCAATTCACCAACTATTTATTGAAAGACCCGTCTGCAACCAAGCCTGCTGCCATATGTTGCAGGACCATCACTTAAATAGAGCATGTCGCCCCCTGCCCCCAACATTGCAATGCTTTTTAAAGATCTACTGGCTTAATGGATGCCTGTCTAGGTTCTTTTGCTTCTTTGGGTATTAATAAAACTGAAGACTATTAAATTCAAGCGTAGATTATACAGAGGTAAAAAGAGGTCTTCTAGTTACTAAAGCAAAGAATGTTAATGATTTTTTTAAAGTTTTCTCTGAAATACTTAAAAGGATCTCTACACTGTTCTGCTTTCTGTAATTTTCTGGAGAAGGAATACTCCTAAGAATTAAAATGTATCTGTATTAAAGCAATAGTATTAGTTCTTTTTAAAGGATCATGGCAAAATACTATTTAAAAAAACTGAAACCTACCACAAAATTCAAGCAACGTAGTGGCAAATTCCTTTTGTGCAACTCTATTATACCTAGGGAACATATCATCAGAAGATGATGATTAAATAATCCATGTTCATTTGTTTTTTTACAACTCCATCAGAAGTTTATTAGAAACAGATACAAAGACTAGCCTAAATATAAAAACTTATAATATTTCAGAGGTCAATGAAACAAAGTTACCTACAGAGAGACAGACATAACTAACATTCCACTAGATTTCTTCAATTTCACTTTTCAATAAGCAGACAACAAAGTGCAATGGATGAATATAAACAGCAAAGCTGAAGCCCTGGAACTTCCTGAGCATTCTCTCTACCAACAACCATGGCTGCGACTTGTGAGTTATGCTAAGTGCCTCTTTCCCCATTCATTCACAACCTCTGCCTTAAGAATAAAATAGGACATGAATTCAAAGTTAAAAGTTTTAAAATTCAATAAAAAGTAACACCTTACTCAAAAAAAACTCAAAGAGCTGGATGAGTTAACTTTACGGGTGGTTTTCATTTTCTTCTGTTATTGTCCAGTTTTTCTACAATTGGTACATATTTCCGTTATAAATTAGAAGGGAGGTATCTTTCAGAAAAGTTAGATGAGTTTATAAATGACTTAAGCGTTGATTGATAGTGCCAGTTCCTACTTAAATCTAACTATAACCCACAGGTTTTGCAATTTCAATTTATATTTTCTACACTTTGTTGCTACACTCTTTTGCGTGTTATTTTCTTAATTACTGTAATGATTCATAATCCTTTTAGGTCACTGATCCCTTTGAGAAACTGATAAAAACTCTATACAGACCCTTCCTTTCCTAAGAGAAAAGGCCCATTTTGCATATAGTTTCAGAAGAAGCCCATTCATAGGCTCCTCCTGGTTAAAGTTTATGTCAAGAAGTATTACAACCGTGAAAACTGGCAGCCCTGGTTTTGAACTCACCAAATTTGTAAAATTCTCAATAGAAAATTATCTTTAACTAATTTGAATTAAAAACACATAAACAGGAAAACCTTCACCAATCTGGTCATGAGTTCAATGTGAATTAGTAAAAAAGAAAACTGCAGGCATGTCTCCCTTTTACTCCAGCCTGTACTTCCTGAAGTCAGACACTGAGATCCCTCCATCTGTCTGCAGCATGTCAGAACTTAGACTGTGTATCTCAAAACACCAACAAGCTCTCTGGATTATCGCTCAGTAACGCGCATCTCAGCCAACCACTGCAGTTGTTACCATGTTTACATGTTCATCCTTACACAGGGCTCTTCTGTGCTTGGCGGTTCTACTGCGTGTTGCTCTATTCTATTAAAAAATTAATGGAAAATGGAAAAAATCTCTAAGTGCAACAAACTGTAGTTTTCAACCTTAAATACATTTAAGACAAAGATAAATTATGAGATGTACCAAAAGCAATGAATCCTTAGCTTCAATTACATATTCACTGGACTTAAGCTGATCATGTGAAACTGGGAATCAAAGCACATGGACAGTGGAAATCCATCATCAAAGACTATGTTATAAACGATGAGATGTAATTAGGGATTTTTATAATAGTTTAAACTCTGAGGGAAAAAATTTTCCTATAACATATGAGTTTGCCTTTTATTTTCAGAAATGCATTAAGCATTAAACTACTTCAGTTACTTCCAAAAACATGATAAAAGCTAGGGGACTCGGCAAAGTAACAAATTTTAATTACGATCATTAAGTGCTTACAAATAAAGGAAAAAAAGCATTTATAGTACAATCTTAGTGGCATAAAGACACATACAGAATTAACAAACTGAAGAGAATAAGGCAAAATGTTTTAAAAAGAGGAGAGAATTGGTTTCTCTTTGAAATTATGGGTAAATTTCTATTATTTCAACCTTTGTCTAAGTAAGCATGTATACATTTTTTATTAGGAATAAAACATTTTAAACCTAATTCAAATTTTGGTTTTTTTTTAAACTATCATTCTTAAAAGTCAACTTGAATCTTTATTTTTTTTGCATCTTAATTTGCTTTGAAATATCACACACACAAAAATTCCAAAACTTACTTAACCTCCAACCCACGTACCAAAACACCACACCATAAAAAGTACGTAGGGACTTGAAGAAAAACAGAGGTGGGGATCTGTATACATGACTCTTCCCTCTTGCCCCTGGACCTAAAGAGACTTTCATAAATAATTCCAACAATAAAAGCATGTAAAATCTCCAAAAAGTCTGCAAGCTGCTCTCTGCTCCACTCATAAACAAAAACATAAAAAAGAAAAAGCCTAACTAAACAGAAGGTCTTACACAAAACGGTGACTGAAAACTTTGTGGTCAGTGAAACAGACTCTGAAAAAACATGGTTTCCAAATTTCCCTAACACTAAAGAATGAAGTCATCACCTTGACCAAAAAAAAAAAAGATTAATTTTAGAGGTGTACAGGTCAATACTTTACAGATTATGCATAATAAAAGAAATTTTGTGAAATAGGAAAGAAAAAAGCATATGAAGGCAAGCTGGGAAAACACAGCATTGTTATGGTGAAATCATTCATCGCTTTTGTGGGGCAAGGAATCCCTCAAAAACTTCTATATATATATACACACACACACACACACACACACACACACACACATGCATACACATAACATACATTATCCTCATAGACAAGAAAGAAGAATTTCAACACAAGGAAATTGACAAGCCTTCTCCTGCGGTTCTAATCTCGCGCGCGTCCTTGGTTATTTCCCCTCACGCACCTTGGCTATGAACTACGCTAGGAACCAGTCACGCTCTTGTTCAAAACAAGAAAAATGTCAAGTGTTTGCTTTAGAATCCCTCTCTCAAAACGCACATGCTCAAGTCCTTCAGAATTATATCTAAACTCAAGGCTATTTTTTCTAAAATTAAACATTTGAACAAAATAAAATGGGTTATTTCCTATATTTTCATTTAAGTCTGCTTCATACAATTTCATAAAGACCTCTTCTACCCAAAAATTCTTTTAAGATGATTTAAAGGAAGCAAGGCGGTAAATTTTTTACAGCTTCATGCAAGTTATCATTAGAAATCATGGCTAAAATACAGATGATTTATTTGTGCCAGGCATCATATGTAATATTTCATTTTCTTAAGTCAGCACAAAGTAATGTGACTCTTCATTCAATACAAGAAGTCATATGCAGTGCATAAAAAATGACCACAAATTCTCTGTCACTCCTCCATCAACAGGTAGTCTATTTCTCCACTTCTTGAACGTGGGCTGGCTTTGTGAGTTCCTGTGGCTTGGAGTCCTGGTGGCGCAGTGATTTACAGCTTGGCTGCTAACCAAAAACTGGTGGTTCATATCCAGCAGCTGCTCCTTGGAAACCCTATGGGGCAGTTCCACTCTGTCCTATAGAGTCACTATGAGTCGGAATCGACTCAGTGGCAGTGCGTTTAGTGTTTTTCGTCTAGCACTGGAGAGAGGGGTTTTGGGTTTGGTTTTGGTGGCAAACAGCATGTGGCCTTGTAGCTTCCATTCTGGCTGCACCATGTAAAGTAAGCAGGATAGAAGATCCTGCCAACAGCCAGCACCAGCCACCAGACTTGGGGGTGAAGCCATCTGGGACAACCCAGCTGTTCCAGTTACCAGGTAAGACTAGCAGAACCACCACACAGGTGAGCTCAGCACAACAAGAAGCCCACTGGCAGAATCATGCTCAAGTAAATGAATGGTTGCTGTTTTAAGTCACTAAAGTTTGGGGTAGTTTTACTAAGGAGCAATAAATAACAAATTTATCATCTTAGCAAGAATATATTTTGAGTTACAGAAGCCATATTCTCAGTGATGTGGCCATTATGTACTGAAAAATTAGTGACCAAATCTTATTTAGTTACCCTAAAAATGAGACATTTGACACACAGGGAAGTTTATGGGAAAGAAGAAGGGATAAAAGTTAATGATTGAGAACAATCTCCAAATCGCAGCATTAATGAAAAAGGAGAACTGTGTATATAGTCTGACTTCATTTTTGTCAAAAAGAGGGGGAGTCGAACGCATGTATAAACATGGGGATACACACACACACGTTCACACACACACATATACACACACTACAGGATTTACAAGAAACTGGTAAAAATGGTTGCCTCCAGAGAAGAGAACTGACAGCTGGAGAACAAGAGGGCAACTATACACCCTCTACATCCTTTTGCACCTCTTAAGTGTTGACCATGTAAATGTATTGCCTAATTAAAATTTTTTTAATTTAATTAAAATTTTAAAGTTAATGTAGTCTTTTATATCTTAAGGATATATACTGAAATATTTCCAGATGAAATACGTTTTAGATTCACTTCAAAATAACGAGGGTAGGGAGGGGCGATAGGATAAGATGTTTAGATCAGTGTAGGTAAAACCATAAGCTAGTAATGATTGACATTGAGTGATGGGTACACTCAGGTTCATTATACTGCTTTGCTGCCTTTTGTCTGAAATTCTTCATAACAAAAAGTTATTTTAAAACATTAATATAAAGCTTTAACAATCCCGATTAGAAAGCCATCTCTCCATCATAGTGAAAGAAGATGACTGGCATGAATATATAACATTCACAAACACTTACAAAGCTTAGGGTTTTTTTTTTTTCTTTTTATTCGTTATCTGTCATTTAAAACTTCTTAAAAACTTATGCCAAAACCCGAAACCCACTGTGGTCGAGTCAATCCTGACTCACAGTGACCCTATAGGACAAAGCTGAACTGTCCCATAAGGTTTCCAATCTTTACGGAAGCAGACTGCTACATCTTTCTCTCGGCTGGTGGGTTCAGACCGCTGACCTTTGAATGCTTTAACCACTTTGACGGCTGAGTGCTTTAACCACTGCACCACCAGAGCTCCTTAAAGACTTAAGAGCTACTATTAATACTGATTGAGTGCCAGGCCAGGTGTTCTACAGACATCATCTCATCTGATCGTCACTCCAACCCTGTAAACTGAGCAGTATCATCACTTTTTAAAAAAATCCACTCGTCTCATTGATTCCGCCTCCTTTGCAGAAGAAAATGGAGAACCCTAGTAATTTGCCCGAAGTTACTGTCATGGATTGAACTGTGTACCCTAAAAATATCTGTCAACTTGGCTAGGTCATGATTCCCAGTGTTGTATGATTGTGTAATCTGATGTGATTCCCTTATGTGTTATAAATATCACTATGATGAGGTTATATGTGATCTCCTTATGTGTTGTAAACTCTTATCACCGTGATGAGGTTATACTGATGAGGTTTACAAGATTACATGGTGTCTTAATGCAATCTCTTTCGAGAGATAAGACAGAAAATCAAGCAGAGACACATGGGAACCTCATACCACCAAGAAAGCAGTGTCAGGAGCAGAACCCATCCTTTGGACCTGAGGTTTCTGCGCAGAGAAGCCCCCAGACCAAGGGAAGATTAACAACACGGACCTTCCTCCAGAACCAATGGAGACAGTGTTCCCCTGGACTGAATTTGGACTTGTAGCCTACTGGACTGTGAGACAATAAACTTCTCTTTGTTAAAGCAATCCACTTGTGGTATTTCTGTTAGAGCAGCACTAGATGACTAAGACAGTTAGTAAATGGCAGGATTGAAATGTAGGTCTGTGACTCCAAATCCCACACTCTTTAGGGAAAAATTTAAAAGGTAAAAAGATACAAACAATCCACAAACAGGATAATCAGCTCCTAATGCGCCAGAGAGAAGCATACCCACATTTCAATGAGAAAACAGCGTGTGGATTTTTAAAATACCTTATTTCCTGACTTAAGTAAAAAGGATTTTAAGCAAAAATAAATAAATAAATAAAGGGAGGGGAGGTTATTTAAAAAACTTTTTTTTTAATCCTTACTAAAATGGAAATCACTGCATCTATTAGCGCTAAAGCAGTGCTGCACAAATTTTTAACTATTAGGCTAAATCATTTAATTTTTATGTGTTATTAACTAAAGAAATACTCTAAATGTCTTAATTCACCAAAGTTCTAGGATTCTAATTCCTTTTCTGGAAGAGATATTTTTTTAGCATATCACATTATCTCAGATTATTTTTACTCCTATTTATCTACAAATATTTGTAATTCCTGTTCCACATACACAAAAATTTTTTTTAATGGTTTTTGAAACACAGAATACACATTACATGTCCCTTAAATAAAAGAATCCTTCACAATTATGCAAGCATAAATACTGCTAGCGTAAGAATGCATTTTTTTAAAAGCATGTATTTTGCTCTTCCTTATTAAGAATTTTAGATTGCTATGCACCCATGAGAAGGAAAGCTTTGCTACAGAGATTGCATTTTAGGCTAGGAAAATCACCGAGGGTTAAAGAAGAACGAAAGCAACATGCTTTTAAAAGCAGTAAGTGAGACGCCCTTTAGAACGGCTCCAGCCTCTCAACTCCCTCCGCACTTGCTCGTGTCTCTGCAAAAGCACAAAATTGTCATGTCTCTGCTAGTGTGTCTGATGAAGACCCCCTCCACGGCAGGGTCTTTCAATCCCAAACAGCCAGCACAACACTGGCATATGGCAGTAACTCAAATATCGTTTGCTGAATTAGGGAATGTAAAGATACCAGGAGTTCTATAAAGCTCCCAAGTAGAAATTTCCTGGTTTCCGTTTCCGAAGGAATGGAGGCACTCTGTTTCCATTTTTAAATATAATAAATCCGGGAGTTCACTGGCCATTTAGATTCTAGCAATATCAGGCATGATACCGTTTACAGACCCTCATTAAAACCAAACACAGAAGTCTGTTTCCTGAGTCGTATCAGAAATGATTCAGAGGAAAACCAAATTCTAACTGAAAAAAAAAAAAAAATAATAAGTTTTAATGTCTAGATATGTGTATGTAAACATGCTAAGCTTCTGTAGATGGGGGCTTTGGAACATTGGAAAGTGGGGCTGAAGGTCACATGAACCTGTCCTGAAACAAATGTCATATTTCTGTCTGTCATCACTCACCAGACCTGTGTAAAGCTACAGTACTGGTAAACTAAAAATGTTCTAAAGGAAACACCTACGCACGTGGTCTTCATTTACTCAAACATTTATCAGTAGTCTAGCATGTGCCAAACACAACGGGAAGTGCTATGGATAAAAGGATGAAATCATGCCCCTTCTCTTTAAACAACTCTCGAACTAGTAGGGAAAGAATTTTACAGAAATTTTAAGTTATTCACACATTTGTGTAAGCTAGTATGTTTTCTGAGTAAACCTAACATATCCTAAATTCTTGAACCTCTTACCAAAAACAGTAGATGAAGTCCACAATGATTTAAAAAAAAAAAAAAAAAAGATCCCCCTGGGAATTATTTGTAAAATGGACTGTTTGGGCCAAATTTGGCAGAACACAAAATGGTTAATTCTTTAGCTAAGGACGCGCATTTCAAGTTTCACCCTGGACTGAAGGGATACTGAAAAGCAAATGGCCCAGTGTGGACATGGCGACAGACTGACACCACCAGTGGATGCAACCAGAACACTTTACTTATTGAAAATTAATGAAGTCCCTGAGTTCTTTTATAAAGGGGGTACTATTAGTTTTAGATGATTTTCTGCAAGCCAAAAGTCAGAATTTAATATGA